CCGAGGGCCACAATGGGTTCTTAAATTGGACCGGAGGGCCGGAACAAAAGCATGGATGGAGTGTTTGTGTGAACTAATACATGTTAACACTGCTGCTGGTGAAGGAGCGGAGGGGAGAGCAAGAGAACCCTCCACTCTTTCGGCTCCGCGGGCCGGATAGAACAGCTGAACGGGCCGGATCCAGCCCGAGGGCCGAAGTTTGCCCACGGCTGCTCTAAAATCTTAATCTTTATTTGTGGGGAGCCCAAATCAATAAAGGCTATTATCCTATATAATAAAAGCCTAATATGCTAAGTGTCTGACTGTTTGACTGTTCAACCAGTCACTATGATGCGCACTGACCACCAGGGGGCAGACCCTCCAACCAGTAGGTTAGCTTGCTGCTGGGGTCTAGCCAATTGGGACTGGGTGAGATGGGCCTGACATGCCCTGGAACCCTCCCACGAACCCTCCCTGGCCCCGATCATTCATCAGTGGGGTCCCTCAGCCTGGCTTGCACCCTCTTGCAATCTGGGACCCTTCAGGGGATGTCAGAGAGCTGGCTTTGGCCCGATCACCACAGGTCAGGCCAAGGGATCCCACTGGTGCATGAATTCATGCGCCGGGCCTCTAGTTTATTTATAATGATAACGATGAGAAAAACTAAAAAACAAGAAAACAACAATACCTTAGCTTCTGGGAAGTAAGAGTTATATGTTCATGCATACTATTCTATTTGCAGTTTTTTTAAATATGTGCATACATTATCATTTAAAAATCTAAGGTAATATGAATGAAGAAGTCAATAGCTTAGTGTATGTGAAGTGTCTGACACAGAGTAGGCACCCAATTATAGTTTTTTATGGCTGCTATTAAAAATTTTATTTTTATATGTGGTAGCTGATGTCAGCTGTGTTCTCTCTGTCCCTTCAGATACAAATAAATTTGGGTCAAACCAATTTTGTGCTTTGTGGTAGCCTAGAGTGTGTCCTCTGGTGTCTGCAGATGCCATGGTATCATGGTGGTTGTCGCTGTGAATGGGCTCCTCCCACCGAACTAAAGCACATTCTGAGTCTCATTGTGCCCTGCTTGCCATCCCAGTTCACACTTTGTTTAATTAGATGCTGAATTCAATCCAGTCCTGTGATTTCTACTAAAAGCATCCACTTACATGACAACTTTGCATTTGTAAGTTTGAGGAAGTTGAAGAAGGTTAACTGACAGGGACAGTTTATATCACGAAGATGCTATTTCAAATTAAATATTGCACATCACCCCTGGCAAATGGTCAGCTACAGCTTCACCACACATTCACATCTCTAGCTCTGTGGTCTTGCCTAGCCATTTTCTCTTTCTCTAGCTCTCTTCTCAGCTTCCACCTCTGATAGCTTGGGGGAGCTTTGGAGGTCCCTTTTATTTTATTTTGCAAGACTCTCTGACTCCTACTCCCATACCTGACTCCAGATGCCACTTGGCAGAGCCTACCCTATGGAGATGGGCAACAGATCAAGGGACTTTTGGGTCACAGAATCCACTAAAGAAGTTAGTGGTGGCAATAAGGGGCACTTTTTCTGTCGATTGTTTTGGAATACAGCAATAACTAACCAAGCAGATTATTATATGCAGTATATTTTCTGCCATCTACTCTTATCATCAGAGAGAGTAACAAAAATTCACCCTGAGTATCATCTAAAATAAAAGATTGTTTTAAAGCTTATGTCTTCACAGGTAATAACTGCCCATTTCATTTTTAGAAGATATAATGGTAAAATTTGATCACTATATAATGACAGAGTAATGTATTTTTTAAAAAACTATAGTGGGAAAGTTGGTCTTAATGGACCATAATTGCCCAATTGCAAATCTATCCTATCTAATAATAGAGAAACATGGTAATTAACCATAACTTCGCTACCCTTCCCATTGGCTAATCAGGGTGATATGCAAATTAACTGACAACTAAGATGGCAGTTAACCGCCAACAAAGATGGAGGTTAATTTGCATATGTAGGCACAATGCTGGGAGGCGAAAGGGAAAGGATGGAAGAAGCCCACTGCCACTGATGGTGATCAGAAATCCAGGGGGGAGCTAAGAGTCAGGGGGCAGGGCAAAGGGCCGTCTTTGCCCTGCCCCCCAGCCGTGATCGGAGAACTGGATGCCTTTGACACCCGGGCCAGTGATAGCGGGAAGCAGGGGTGGAGCTGGCAATGGGAGCTGGGCAGGGGTGGAGCCGGCAGTCTGGGGAGCTAGGGGTCCCTTGCCCAGGCCTAAAGCCTTGGCCAAAGACGTTAGGCCTGGGCAGGGGTGGAGCCTGCAATCGGGGAGCTGGGGGTCCCCTGCACAGACCTAACACCTTGGCCAGAGGCATTAGGTCTAGGCATAGGCGGAGTCAGTGATCATGAGCAGCTGGGGGTCCCCTGCATAGACCTAACACCTTGGCCACAGGCGTTAGACCTGGGCAGGGGTGGAGCCTGCAATCGCAGGGAGCTGGGGGTCCCCTTCCCAGGCCTAATGCCTCGGCCAGAGGCGTTAGGCCTGAGCAGGGGCGGAACCAGCCATCGTGGTGAGCAGGGGCAGAGTCAGCAATCGTGAGCAGCTGGGGGTCCCCTGCCCAGGCCTAATGCCTCGGTCAGAGGCATTAGGTCTAGGCAGGGGCAGAGCGTGAGATCGCGGGGAGCTGGGGGTCTCCTGCCCAGGACTAATGCCTCAACCAGAGGCCTTAGGTCTGGGCAGGGGTGGTGACAGAGATTGTGGGTAGCAGGGGCGGACCCGGGGATGGTGGGAGCTGGGGGTCCCCTGCCCAGGCCTGATGCCTGGGCCAGAGGCATCAGGCCTGGGTGGGGGGCGGAGCCAGTGATTGGGGGGATATGAGGGTCCCTTGCCCAGGCCTGATACCTGGGCCAGAGGCGTCAGGCCTGGGCGGGGGGCAGAACCAGCTATGGGAGGGAGATGGGGGTCCCCTGCCCAGGCCTTACACCTCTGGCGGAGGCATCAGGCCTGGGCAAGGGGCCAATCTGGCGATTGTAGGGTGATGGGGGTCGACGCCTCTGGCCAAGGCATCAGGCCTGGGCAAGGGTGGTGCCCGTGATCGGGGGAGATGGGGTTCCCCTGCCCAGGCCTGAAGCCTGGGCCAGAGGCGTCAAGCCTGGGGCGGGAGTGGGTGGGGTGCCAAGCCGCCAATTGGTGTGAACTACAGAGGAAGCACCTTTTCTGACCGCTCATTGGTTAAGCTCCCTGTATGCCACTGGTAATATTCTTAGTAACTTGGGTAATAAGAATCCAAAACGGTGATCTAGGATTTTTCACCACACTCCTGGTGACAAAAATGAAGGTCCGCTGCTGGAGGGCTAAGAAATGTCATATCCTGCCCTAGCCACTTTGGCTCAGTGGATAATGCCTTGGCCTGCCGATGTCAGGGTCTGGGTTCAATTCTGACCAAGGGCATGTACCTAGGTTGCAGGCTCCTCCCTGGCCAGGGCCCAGGTCAGGGCTCATGCAGGCGGCAACCAATCAAAGTGTTCCTCTCATTTTGATGTTTCTCTCTGTCTTTCCCGTTCTCTTTCACATTCTCTAAAAATCAATAGAAACATATCCTCAGGTGAGGATAAAAAAATAATAAAGAAATTATTATTATATGAAAGACACATCTTGAAAATGCCTAAAGAAAGTTGTCATTTTTTCATGGTGACGGGACTGGTGTCCGTGTTGATGAAAACACCTTGGTGGCTGCGGTGACTGGCAGTGGCTGCAGCAGCGGGGTTATGGGGCTGGTTCCTTCCCCTGATCAGCCCGGTCACCTCCCACAAAGCAAGGCCAGACTGCAGCTTAGGCCCGCTCCTCAAGGGGAGCAGGGAGCGGGCCTAAGCCGTCAATAGGACATCCCCTGAGGGCTCCCAGTATGTGAGAGGGGGCAGGCTGGGCTGAGGAACACTCGCCCCCCCCAAGTGCACGAATTTCGTGCACCGGGCCCCTAGTATATATATAAAAGCTTAAGCGACCAAACAACCAATCGACCAGTTGCTATGATGCGCACTGAGCACAAGGGGGCAGACACTCAATGCAAGAGCTGCCCCCTGGTGGTCAGTGTGCTCCCACAGCAGGAGTGCAGCTCAGCTGATGGACCCATCCCAGTGGCCTACCAGCCCAACAGCAGCCACTCACTCTCTCAGTAGGCCTGCAGGTCCAATCTCCAGAGAACAGGCCAGGCACTGATGGACCGGCACTGCTGGCATGATCTTGACAGTGCAGCAGGTCTCCTGGAAGTTGGCCTTGGGCACCGCTGCTACTTCTCCTCCCTAGATGCTCCACAAGAAAGGAACGATATAAAATCAGCCGACAGGTGGACGCTGACAAACTGCACTAACGTCAGCAGCACGGATCTGAATCCCAGGCTGGTGAGGGGATCCCACCGCTCACCCAGATTGCCAATCGTGTCCTCCCCCCGCCCCCCGCCCCCGCCCTGCTCCTCAGGATGGGCGCCAGATGCAGGGCTTATGGCTGGCGAGTGCTGCTGCTGCTGCTGCTGCTGCTGCTGCTGCTGCTGCTGTGGTGCGAGCCTCTCCCAATTGGGACTGACTGAGCACGAGCCCGTGGCAGGCGCAGTGGAGCTGGGATGAGTAGGAGTGGCAGGCAGGAGCAGCAGGCAGCATTGGACTGCTGGTTTCAGCCTGATCCCCACAGGCCACCCCAAGGGAACCCACCTGCACGAATTTGTGCACCAGACCTCTAGTGCAATATATAAACACTGAACTTTATAAATTGGATAAGGCAGAGAAGATCCCTGTGGGACTCTGGTTGACATATTTAAATCTCAGTTTCCTTTCTCTAAGCTACAGAGAAGACACATCTTTATGCATTAATTTGAAATGTTATACAGGGTAGGGCAAAGGTAGGTTTAGAGTTGGAAAGTAATACAAACATTAATAAATAATAACACAAGAATAAACTCTGTTTCTTGTATTCACAACTGTAAATCTACTTTGTCCCACACTATATTTACCTTGGTTTATTTCCTTTCCAGGTTGCAACTGATAAATCTGTTGAGACACATGAAGATGAAGAGGCGAAAATTCAACCTGAGTATCATCTAAAATACTCAGTGGTCCAGGTATAATATGACTATTATGACCATTATTATTACACTAATTATTCTTCATATTGATGCTGGTTATTCTTAGAAAGTAGCAATGACTTTGATGGAGAATTAGTTTTGTTTGGTGTTTTTCCTCTTAAAAAAAAACCGTTGTTGAGAATATTACAGATGTCCCCCATTTCCCCCTCGTTGTCCCCCTCCATCCAGTTCCCACCCCACTCCAGACCTTCACCATCCTACTGCATGTGTCCATAGGTAAGATCTTTGGTTAATCTCCTCCTCACCCCCCTACCCACTTCCCTCTGAGATTCATCAGTCTGTTCCATGCCTCTGACTCTATTTTACTCACCAGTCTGTTTATTAGATTACTTGTTAACTTATTTTGATTTTTACGTTCAATTGTTGATAGATATGTATTTGTTGTCATTTTAGTCATATTTTTATCTCTTCTTCTCCTCCTCCTCCTCCTCCTCCTCCTCCTCCTCCTCCTCCTCCTCCTTCTCTTCTTCCTCTTTTTAAAGAATTCCCTTCAACATTTTATATAATACTGGGTTTGTGGTGATGAACTCCTTTAGCTTTTTCCTGTTTGTGAAGCTCTCTATCTGACCCTCAATTCTAAATGAGATCTTTGCTGGGTAGAGTGATCTTGGTTGTAAGACTTTGCTATTCACTACTTTGAATATTTCTTGCCACTCCCTTCTGGCCTTCAAAGTTTCTGTTTGAGAAATCAGCTGACAGTCATATGGGTACTCCCTTGTAGGTAACTAACTGCTTTTCTCTTGCTGCTTTTAAGATTCTCTCTTTGTCTTTAATCCTTGGCATTTTAATTATGATGTGTCCTGGTGTGGGCCTCTTTGGGTTCCTCTTGTTTGGGGTTCTCTGAGCTTCCTGGACTTGTAAGTCTATTTCTTTCACCAGGTAGGGGAAGTTTTCTGTCATTATTTCTTCAAATAGATTTTCTTGCTCTCTCTCTCTCTTCCCCTCTGGCACCCCCCATAATGCAAATGTTGGTATGCCTGAAGTTGTCCCAGAGGTTCCTTATACTATCTTCATATTTTTGGATTCTTTTTTCTTTTTGCTCTTTTGCTTGGGTGTTTTTTGCTTACTCATATTCCAAATCATTGATTTGATTCTCTGAATCCTCTACTCTAACTGTTGATTCCCTGTAAATTATTTTTTTAAATAATTCTTTCTTGTAGAAAGTCCCACTATTTCGCCATTGACCCCTACCAGCCTGCTCCCATCCCCCGCCCAGGTCCTTACCACCTCATTGTCTGTGTCCATGGGCCATGCATATATGCATACAAGGACCTTGGTTGGTTACCTTACAGTCCCCCCTCCTCCCACTTCTCTCCAAGATTCCACACACTGTTCCATGCTTCCATATCTCTGTATCCATTCCATTCATCAGTTTATTTTGTGACTTTCCACATATGAGTGAGATCATGTGATACTTATCTTTCTCTGACTGACTTATTTCACTTAGCATGATACTCTCCAACTCCCTCCATGCTTTCTCAAACGGTAAGATATTCTTTTTTACTGCTGCATAGTAATCCATGCTGTAAATGTACCACAACTTTTTTATCCACTCATCTACTGATGGGCACTTGGGCTGTTTCCAGATCTTTGCTATTGTGAATTGTGCTGCTGTGAACATACTGGTGCATACATTCTTTCTGACTGGTGTTTCGTGCTGCTTAGGATATGTGGCAGTTCCATATTTAATTTTTTGAGGAAACTCCATACTGTTTTCTATAATGGCTGTACCAGTCTGCATTCCCCCTAACAGTGCACTAGGGTTCCCTTTTCTCCACATCCTCGCCAACACTTGTTATTGATTGATTTGTTGATGGTAGCCATTCTAATAGGTCTGAGGTGACACCTCATTGTCATTTTACTTTGCATCTCTCTGACAATCAGTGAATTTGAGCATTTTTCATATGTCTCTTGGCCATCTGCGTGCCCTCTTTGGAGAAGTGTCTATTTAGGTACTTTGCCCATTTTTAGTTGGATTGTTTGTCTTCCTTCTGTTAAGTTATATGAGTTCTTTACATATTTTGGATATTAATCCTTTATCAGATGTATCATTGCCAAATATGTTCTCCCTTTTGGTTTTGTTGATGGTTTCTTTTGCTATGCAGAAACTCTTTATTGTTTGTGGTGGTGTTTTTTTGTTTGTTTTAAATATTTTTATTGATTTCAGAGGGGAAGAGAGGAGAGATAGAAAAATCAATGATGAGAGTGAATCATTGATTGGCTGCCTCCTGCATACCCCCTACTGGAGATAGAGCCTACAACCCAGGCATGTGCCCTGACTGGGAATCGAACCATGACTTCCTGGTTCATAGTTCTATGCTCATTCACTGAGCCACCTTGGCTGGGCCAGAAGCTTTTTATTTTGATGTAGTCCCATTTGTTTATTTTCTCCTTAGTTTTCTTTGCCCTAGGAGATGTATCTGTAAACATATTGCTATGACGGATGTCTGAAATTTTGCTGCCTATGGTTTCTTCTAGGGTTTTTCTGGTTTCACAACTTACATTTAAGTCTTTTATCCATTTTGAGTTTATTATTGTGCATGGTGTAAGTTGGTGGTCTAGTTTCATTTTTTTGCATGTATCTGTCCAATTTTCCCAACACCGTTTATTGAAGAGACTGTCTTGACTCCAGTGTATGCGCTTGCCTCTTTTGTCAAATGTTAATTGAGAGTAATGACTTGGGTTGATTTCTGGGGTCTCTGTTCCGTTCCATTGACCTATATGCCTGTTCTTGTGCCAGTACCACGCAGTTTTGATTGCAGTGGCTTTGTAGTATAATTTGAAATCTGGTATTGTGATCCCTCCAACTTTGTTCTTCTTTCTCAAGATTGCTGCAGCTATTTTGGGTCTTTTTGATTACATATACATTTTTTGGATTATTTGTTCTAGATCTGTAAAATATGCTGTTGGTATTTTAATAAGGATCACATTGAATCTATAGATTGCCTTGGGTAGTATGGACATTTTAATGATGTTGATTCTACCAATCCATGAGCACAGTATATTCATCCACTTATTTATATCTTCTTCTATCTCTTTTTTCAATGTCCTGTAGTTTTTTGAATATAGGTCTTTTGTCTCCTTGGTTAAGTTTATTCCTAAGTATTTAATTTTTTTGTTGCAATGGTAAATAAGATTGCTTGTTTAGTTTCTCATTCTGAGAATTTATTACTGGAGTATAAAAAAGCCATTGATTTTTGGGTGTTGATTTTGTATCCTGCTACATTGCCAACTTCATTTATTAAATCTAATAGTTTTTTGGTGGAGTCTTTAGGGTTTTCTATGTACAATATCATAATGAGATTTTTACTTCCTTCTTTCCAATTTGGATGCCTTTTATTTCTTCTTGTCTGAAGGACTAGGACTTCCAGTCCTACATATGTTGAATAAGAGAGGTGAAAGTGGTCATCCCTGTCTTGTTCCTGTTCTTAGGGGAAATGGTTTTAGTTTTTGTCCATTGAGTATGATGTTTGCTGTAGGTTTTTCATATATGGTCATTATCATGTGAGATATGCTCTCTATTCCCAATTTGCTAATAGTTTTAATAAAAATGGGTGTTGGATTTTGTCAAATGCTTTTTCTGCATTTATTGATATAGGTGTTTACCTATGCCACCATCTTCGAGAATTAGTTTTATGAAGAGTCAGAGGACATGATTGCCTCCATAATATGATTCTGGGGTATAACCCTGACATACTCAAAGAAATACTTCAGATTTATGGAGAAACAGGGTGTATTGTTCATGTAATTAACTTTGTGATGTATTTTCTATTGAAAGGTTGAAGAGAAACATACTTTGGAGAAGGAAATAGAAATGTTAAAGAAAAGTTTGGAGAATGAAAAAATGTTGACAGAAAGGTACTGGAAATAATGATTAATAACTACTCATTTGTAACTAATACAAAATTTAACTATCTATAAATTTGTTACAGGTTTAGGAAGGAAGCAGAACGGATAAACAAAATATGGGAAAAGAAATTTCTTATTCTCAAGAACAGGTATAGTGTGGTAATATATAAAAATTATAGTTATAGAAATGTGACCTATCATCTTTTAAGGAAATGAGGCGAAATTTTTCCGTATATATTAATTAATATTAGCAAGAAGTTCAAAATAATTGGCCTAAAATAGAATGGTAGTCAAAGTCACCTCAAAGAAAAAATAATTTAAAACTTTCATTTCCAATGTCAATGTTTCAACTTTTAATGGATCAACAGGACAGGCAGTACCTATTGATTCCTGGGTTAATCAGACCTGCATAATCATCTCTCTTCATAGGGCATTAAAATGTTTTCCTGCTCATTTGCACATATTCATATTTAACTGGTCTATAGCTTCCTTGTAAAATTGCTTTAAATACTAGATCCCCTTTCTATTTTTAGACAGGCAACACCAACTCCTTAATTCTCAGATCTAATTTTTATTCAGATAATTATTTTAATTTCTCTTCCCCATGTCTTCTTAAATATGGAGAAAGTAAAAAGAAATGAATAAAGTGACACTAAAATTCTGAAAAAGCTGAAGGCATTGCCAATTAAAAAAAAATGCTTATTTTTTTCTTGTCCTAACATGTTAGTATTAACATTCTATGTTCTGTTCTCTCGGTTTCTGCCATAATTTCCACTAGAATTTCTTTGCATGTTGGAAATTTCTTTGCAAGATTTTCTCACAGTGAAGCATCTACAGGATAGATTCAATGTTGGTCTGATGTCGTAGGTCACACTTGAGGCTCATACCTGACTTCATGGGGTGATAATGCCATACATTTGCACTGCACTTCATAAACATGCAGTGTGTGTGTGTGTGTGTGTGTGTGTGTGTGTGTGTGTGTGTGTGTGTAAAATTCTGAACATTAGCACTGAAAAATCCCAGGTGTCATGTTGAGAATCTACATAACAGAAATACCACCAGATGATGAGTAAAGGATCTCCTCCTTGTGGTAAAACGTTCTGCTTTCCACTCCGGCTTGTGTTTCACATCTGTGATGATAACTATTTTGTGCTCTGAAAAAATGGGCATATTAATACTTCCCCTGTCCCTTCACAGAGTCATTATAAGGATAGCATATTGATACAGGTGAAACTAGAGGATGAGAACAAAGGAAAGTTTAAACACCCACCTAATTTCATTTCCCCACACAGGGAATTGGAGCTATCTCTGAAACCGAATAGAATGTCTTTCCCTTACTTATTTCTGTGGGGTTTACTTTCATCCTTAAGATTTATCATGTATCTGTCCCTATGGAATTCATTCTCTACTCAATGACCATTTACAGGAATATCTCAGTTTTACTTCAAATTGATTTGCTGTTAACCAAGATGTTGACAATCATATCTATCAACTTGGTCTCTGAAGACTTTATGTTGTTATCTAAATATTTAGAACAACAGGAAGTATTATTACACACTTTCTATATGTTTTCTCATTTAATTAACTAACTAGAATATAATGTTGGGACATAATGCATTTGTTCATAATGGTTTGGTTGCATCACCAAGGGCTAACTCAAGGTAATACATGCAACAACATAGAAAGTGCTGTGTCATGGTGTGGTATGGAGATTAAGTGGGCTAAAATGGCTATTTCATTTTGCAGTAACAGGTCGGAGATCAGGAACAATCATTTTTGTTTAGTAGAAGAAAAACTTCACCTTAGTCCAGGTGACAGTTTAATCCAATAATTTCTCAGCCAATTCATGGTTTATATTCAGTCCCAGTTGAATTTGGAGCTTCTTCTCCAAGCTCCTTTTTCATTTTTACTGAATTAGCTCTATTTCCAGGAACATCGAACTTATATAGTGCTGACAAGAGCAGGGACTAGTCCTTTTTCTTAACAAGGCATGCCTGGCTCTGCTGCTAATGTCATCATTGCCTTTTCTCTTGGCACAATGGTGCACAGGTGTGCCACATCAGCTCAGGAATAGATCACTACCTGGGTGTTGTCACTGTGATGGAGCCACTCCCACCTCAACTCCAGGAGTTGGTCCGTAGGAACCCTTCTGAGCCAGGATACAAAATCAATATACAAAAATCAGTTACTTTTCTTTCTTTTATTTTTTAAAACATCTTTCTATACACTAATAACAAATTATCAAAAATTAAAGAACAATCCCATTTACAATTGCATCAAAAAGAGTGAAATACTGCCTGGCTGATATGGCTCGGTGGTTGAGCATCGACCCATGATTCCTGGTCAGGACACATGCCTAGGTTGTGGACTTGATCCCCAGTAGGGAACATGCAGGAGGCAGCCAATTGATGTTTCTCTCTCATTGATGTTTCTCTCTTACTATCTCCCTTCCTCTCTCTCCAACACCAATTAAAACATATTTAAAAACAAACAAACAAAAACTTCATAAAAAAAAAAAACAGAACGAAATACTTATGAATAAATGAACCAAAGAAGTGAAAGATCTGTATAGTAAAAATTATTTAGTTGATGAATAAATTTGCAGAAGATGAAAATAAATGGAAAGATCCTCTGTGCTCTGGATTGGAAAACTTGATATCTTAAAATGTCCATACTACCCAAAGCCATCTATAGATTCAATGCAATCCCTATTAAAATCCCAACGGAATTTTTCAAAGAAATAGGAAAAACAATTATAAAATGTATATAGAACCACACATACACACACAAACACACACACACACACACACACACACACACACACACACAAAACCAAAAAAAAAAACAACCCAAAAACAAAAAACATCCACAAATAGCCAAAACAATCTTGAAAAAGAACAAAGCTAGAGGCATCATGCTTCCTGATTTCAAACTATAGTACAAAGTTATAGTAAAACAATAGAGTATTAGCATAAAAATTGACATGCAGATCAATGGAAAATAAGTAAACCCACATATATGGCCAATTAATTTATGACAAGAAGCCAAGAATACTCAGCAGGAAAAGGACAGTCTCCTCAATGAATGGTGTTGGGAAAATTGAACAGCCACGCCCCCCAAAATGAAACTGGAACCCTGTCTTACCCTGTACACAAAAGTCTACTCAAAATGGATTAGGTCTTAAATCTAAAATCTGAAACTAAAATTCCTAGAAGAAAACATAAAGTAAACTTCTTGACATTGGTCTTGGCAATGATATTTTGGATTTGAAACCAAAAGCAAAGGCCACAAAACCAAAAATGAACAAACAGAACTACAGCAAACTAAAAAGCTCCTGCACAGCAAAGGAAATCATCGTCAAAAGTAAATGGCAACTTACAGAATGGGAAAAAATACTTGGAAATCATATATATATTAAAGGGTTAATATAAAAAAATATAGAAAGAACTCACAGCCCTCGCCAGTTTTGCTCAGTAGTTAGAGCACCAGCCCGTGACTGAAGGGCCAGGGGTTTGATTCCAGTCAAGGATTGCAGGCTCCATCCCCAGGCACATGCTGGAGGCAACCAATCTATGTGTCTCACATTGATGTTTCTCTCTCTGTGTCTCTCCCTCTTCCACTCTCTCTAAAACAATCAATGGAAAAGAAGCCTCAGGTGAGGATTAACAAAAGAAAAGAAAAGAACTCACACAACTCAATAGCAAAACAACAATAATAACAAATGGCAAAAACACACAAAACAAACAATCCTATATAATAAAAGCCTAACATGCAAATTGTCCCCTCTACTGGAGTTTGGCTGGGAGTTCGAAGGTTCAACCAGTTGCGATGATGTGCACTGACCACCAGAGAGCAGATGCTCCAACCAGTAGGTTAGCTTGCTGCAGGTGCTTGTAGGCTGGACTGGAAAGTGAAGTGTGGGGTGAGAGCCATCAGGAAGCTCCCAGAGTTTGGCCTGAGCCATTCCCCCGCCTCCCCATTGGGCAGAAGCCGGTAAGGGCAGAAGCCAGGAGGGACTAGGTGGCACGGGAGGTTGCTACATGTGATCCCAGAGCTGTGGATTGCACAGCCCTCCACAGCCTGTGGTGTTCTCAGTGCACAATTTATACTCTTCAGAGCTGCTTCTTTTTATTTAAGTTTCACTAACTACTCCAGGAGAGTGGATAGCACCATTATGGGGGGATGGGCCAGGCACAACTGCCAGAGGCCAAGGGGTTGATCCCCAGTGTGGGGCGTGCAGGAAGCAGCTGGTCAATGATTCTCACTCATCATTGATGTTTCTATCTCTCTCTCACTCTCACTTCCTCTCTGAAATCAATAAAAATATATTTTAGCCCTAGCCGTTTTGGCTCAGTGGATAGAGCGTTGGCCTGCAGACTCAAGGGTCCCAGGTTTGATTCCGGGCAAGGGCATGTACCTTGGTTGCAGGCACATACCCAGTGATGATTGTTTTATGACTCGGTATATGGTCAATTTTTAAAATGTTCCATGTACACTTAAAAAGCATAGAAATTCTATCATTGGTGGGTGCAGTGTTCTATATATTTCAATTACATCAACTTTACTGTGTGGTTCATATTTTTTTATATACTTACTGATTTTTTGCTGCAGTTACTATTGAGAGAGGAGTATTACATTTCCCACTATGTTTATAGATTTATTTATTTCTCCTTTTAGTTCTGTCAATTTTTCTTTTAAACAATTTATAGCTATGTTGCTAGAAACCTAAAACTTTAGAATTCTTGTATTTTCCTGTGAAATTATCATTCATATGTGTCATTATGAGACAGATGCTCCTCTTTATCTCTATAATGCTTCTTGGCTTAATGTCTCCTCATCTAATATTATAACTATATCACTATTCTTCAGTTAAGGTTGCATGGTGCACTTTTTCCAGCTTTTTAAAATCAACTTACCTTATTTTTATATATTTTTTTATTGTTGTTGTTTTTTTTTTAGTTTAATGGCTTTTTTATTAAATTGTTTTATTGCTTAAAGTATTACAAAGAGTATTACATATGTCTCCTTTTTTCCCCGCCCTTGACAATCCCCTGGACTCCCCTACCCCCCCCCCCCCAGGGTCTTATGTCCATTGGTTATGCTTATATGCATGCATAAAAGTTCTTCGGTTGATCTCTTACCCCCCTCC